CCCCAAAACCCCAAAACCCCAAAACCCCAAAACCCCGTTTGAGGGTATAATTATTGAAAATGGAAGAGAAGGGGAAGAAGTCTTCGAAAATTAGGTCTAAGGAGCATAGGGAAAGGAAGAAGAAGTATATTTCAACACTTGAGTGTAAAATTAAAAAATTGTTGAAAGAAAATCAAGATTTGAAACAAGAAGTCACGAGGTTGAAGGGACCATTGGATAATATTACTTCAATGTTTTAGGTGATAAATTGATGAACAATCCTGAAGAAGTTAGGTACTCTGCTCTTGAGCAGAGTTATCAACAGATTTCTGATTTCAGGTAAGATTTTAAAGATATTTTAGCGATCAAAGAAATGAATTTATCAAGACTAGCTTTAAAAGTAAGTTAATAACATTCCAGAAATTCAAGTAAAATATAAAATTTAAGACTAATTTAACCTTCTCTCACACTAACCCCATCACATAACCCATAGACATCCTGGATAGCTTAATGAACCCCGAAAACAAAGCTTGGAGGGTGAGTTTCAAAAACTGCACTCCAACCCAACTCAAAAGAAAATTCTGAGTAAACCCTCTAATCCTCTTATCCTTCCAAATTTCCTTCTACACTATCTCCATGCTTCCACTAATCTAATCTCTAGTGCAAATAAGCGGATTCTCAAATGTGTGGACAAGGACCATCCTGATTACATAGAAAGCGTGCTTGCCGAGACTGACCTGCCAAGCCCCCAGATAGTACAGTTCATTGAGGAATATGGAAAGGACATACAGAGTTATATGAAGAAGATGGCCTCTTTGTATTAAAGAGTTTTTAACTTTTAGAGCACAGAAGTTGGTGAAGATTAGGAACGAGATTTTAAACCTACATCAGAAAGGAAGAGTTTGGTCTGATTATGAAGAGGTCGAAGGTGTTGTGGTATGTTTTTGGGAGGATTTGATTGGATTGTTTAGTATTCAAAAAATGATGCATTGACAGGGATAAAAATGTATAACAAGTTTAAATCAACCAAAGCGTTTACTCCTCATTATATCTGGGATATACCTCTAAAGACTCACAATAACAATCTTTACGAAGATGGGGAAATGACTGAAACCCCAATTGATCAATAAATCAAAAAATCTATCAAATTCTTCTCAATATCCATTCCACTCTAAGGGGTTTTGGGGTTTTGGGGTTTTGGGGTTTTGGGG